TATTCATAAATTATAGCTAGTTATTAGGAATGTATCTTAAAAATACCATAATATGTAAGATGTTTAGTAAGATTAAGTTGCCCATGTTGGATAATAGTAAACCATTCAACTAACCAATTTACGGTACCTAGGTACTCTGTACTCAATCATTGTTTTTTATAGTTTTGTTTTAATAACTTTAAATGTTATAGATCTTTCAGATATAACTATTGGATATAGTAGTAAGGATATTATAATCACCAAATACTTAATTTTATTCAGTGCTCGAATTTTGGAGTGCGCAGGGGGGACAGAGCAGTATTACAATAAATAACTTGTAAATATTATATGTAATACAATAACTGAATAACGAAAGTAAAATATTAAAAGAGTATCTATATTAAGTTATTACAGGTATCTAGACACACTAACACTAGCTAACAGAACTGGCGAGCAGCACAGTGTTTAGTTTTACACGAACCATTTTTAGCCACTTTTGACCCCTCATAACTCAAAAACTATTCCACATAAACATGTGAAATTTGGCTCATATATTGAGATCTACTAGATACACATGTGCTCCAAATTTCATAAGCACACCTCAAACCGTGATTTAGATATTTAAGTCCCAAAATCGTCATTTGTATCACTGACTGACTGGCTGACCTATAGACCGAAATTGGGTCTAGGACTTTTCGGCGCTGCCAATTCGACGCTGCCATTTCGGCGCTGCCGTTTCGGCGATAAATATTTTCGGCGCTGCTGTTTCGGCGACGCCGATTCGGCGATAATGACAAAATACATATTATAATGAAAATTATTTTTAGTATAAAAAAAGTTAAAAATTGCACTATAAAAATGCATTTAAATTATTTTTATTAGAATGATAATAATTAAAATAATATAATATAACTTATATAGTCAAATATTTAGATATAAAATAATATAGATTAAAAAATTATGTAGGTACATTAGTAAAAAAATAATAATATAATAATAATAACTTAGTCAATTAATGTTAATTAATGTTTATACAATTATAGTTAACATTTTATTTCAACGCTATATTATTTGATATTCCCCTGATAAAAGTTTTAATGTCATTTTTATCGTATCTATCAACTAGCTGATAAATACGATTGTCTGTGTCTCTAAACTTTTTTAACTTTTTCCGTCGACTATTACCCGTTACCAAATGCTCATACTGTGTATCCGTTCCTGCTTGTATTTTACGTAATGTGCTTATGAAAGCCCAAATTGTAGGTTTGTTTGCCATTAACTGATTTAATCTTCTATTCGCCGCTCTATTTGTACGGTCTTTATTTGTTAATACACGTTCGTATAAATTCCACATTGCTGGAGAAAATCGCTCAGGCCGTCGACCTTCACGACTACGATTTTTCCGGCCAATATAAAAGTCTTCGAACCAATCTAATACATCTATTAGTTCCTCTGGTAAACTTTCTGATAAAATATCTAACGCATCATCAAGATCTGATATAGGAACGAAAGCTAATGCGATAATACTTTTTACTTGTATGCAAAATTCTGGTTCATTTTTGTAACGAGTTATTAAATGTAGCTCACCTAATTTAGATCGAAAGTCTTGACATAAGTGAAAATAACATCCAAATATTTGTACATTAGGGAATGCATCTTTTATAGCTGTAAAAGCAGCAAGTTCGAAATCACAAGAAATTGAGTCTGGATTTAAATCTGGTTCAAGCGTTTTTAACATATTTAATAATTTTTCATAAACACTAGCTTTTTTGCTTGGAAGTAGTGCATATATTATCGGGTGTACCTCCTAAATCCTAATGCTTCTGCCAAAATAACATAAACCTGGGAAAATAACAATGGAGCAATTCTAAAAGTACCGTCACAGTACCAGGTTCGGGAATTTTTTAATATTTTTAGTCCACTAAGTCGGCCAAATATTAAGACCCTATCTGATTCCGACCCGCGATAGCATTAATTCGCCTGGCGATCGTAACGACAATAATGTGTTTGCCGATCAGTTGTCATCCGTAGTCTCTCGAACGTTGTACTACCGTCATCATTATTGTGTATAATATAATAAAACACTAACCAATTTAAAATAAAAGTATACAGTCCACTTTAAATATCGAACATGTACGTCCAGAACTAAACAACAAATAAATACTATAATAACAATATTATAAAAATAAAATATAAATTTTTTTTCCAATTTTTTAGTTATTAAAAATAATTTAAATGCATTTAGTGCAATTTTTAATTTTTTTTATACTAAAAATAATTTTCATTATAATATGTATTTTGTCATTGTCGCCGAATCGGCGTCGCCGAAACGGTAGCAACGAAAATATTTATCGCCTAAACGGCAGCGCCGAAAAGTCTCATTCCCACCGAAATTCTAACCCAGTTCCAGATGACCGCTAGAAAGTTAAAATTTGACATACGAATAGGTAGGTAGGTGAATACAAAAGAAAAAATCAGAACCTTGTAAATTTTTAATTTTTAAATCAATTGATTTTATTATAATTTTCAATTATTTGATCTATTATCTAAGTGCCTCTAATTTATTGTAATGTTGACTTTGACTTATATATAGCTCCACTAACCTTTACCGTATCGCCAAAATACGTCCAGTCGAATATGTGTCGATATTGGCGACCCGCGCGTAGCAACATTCTTTGTTTTTCCATGTATGAAATTAATATTAATTAAAAAAAAATACAATTAAAATAATTAAATATTTAATTTCATGATTATGAATTACCCACCCACCAGTAGAAATTATAGTAAATAAAATTATGATAGTTAAAAATATACTCAAAAAAAGATAAAAAAATTGTATATTAATTTTATATTTTATACTCTGTATACAACAGAAAATATTTTATAATAAATATTATTAATGTTATTAACTGAATTATAGTATACATATAGTATTAAACTTTATTTATAGAATACGTCATGGCTAGATAAGGTTAGGTTATAATAATTTACATAAAAAAGGTAATGATATCCCACCAAAACATATATTATGTAAAACAAGTTAGGATAATATATTGAAGCCTAAGGTCTGACTTGGCTACGAATTATGTTATAGCCATGTCAAGATCTAAAGCTTCAAGTTCTTATTTTATTCTTCCGAAAATCATATTCACTCTTCCATTACTGTTTTAGTAGGTACTTAATAATAATTTGTATATGAAAACTAGCCAAGTCAGACCTTAGGCTTCAATATATTATCCTAACTATTGGCACCCATTTAGATCTCACTTCTTTTATCGTTGAAGTCAACAACCAAGGCATATATTATAGTATTGAACTTGGTTCTCATTTTACATAGGTATATGTTTTTGGTGGGATATCTGTTATAAAACAGTTTATTAACAGTTTAATATTTAATAATTTGCTTCAAGACCATATTTTGATATTCTTGAGATATTAATATATAATGTATTACTCGAGTAGTGTTCTGTGGAGATCAAACATCTGTTTTTCAAATCAGAACCATCCTCCCTTTTTTACTCAAAGATATTCAGTAGATAACTGTTCTGAATTAAAATTCATAATATGCTATTAGTTTTAAATATATTAATTATGTAACTTTGTGTTTTAAGGATAGAATGTCTATGGTAATTGGTTCATAAGATATTGGGTTTATTGTTTATGTGAATTGAAAATTTAGTTATCAATCAACATAAATAAATTGTAAAAATGTCCAAAATTTAATAATTACTTGTTCCAATATGACGTCTATTTTATATTTTTACAAGACCATTTTTTTTAGCTATTATCCTTAGAACAAACATTTTAATAACGATTTAACTACTCATTCTAATTTTGAATTAGGTACATATAAAATTTCAAAAAAAATCATCTAATTAATTTACGGTAAAAAAGTGGAATGGGTGAATAATTTGAAAAACAGAAGTTTGTGTCGCCACCGAATACTTTTTAAGTATTTGGTACAAAAAATTCTGAATCAATATTTAATCGACTTTGATTTCCGTTTGACAGTTGACTTGTCAAATTCATAAACTATTATATAGCTATTACTTATTAGTATGAAGTATCTTAAAAATACCTTATGTAAAATGTTTAGTGAGATTAAGATGCCCATGATTAACCATAGGTACATACAAATGAATTGGTACCTACTCAAGCATTCTTTTATGTAATTTCATTTTAATAATTTTAAAATTGTGTAGATATTTACAAAGGTTATTTTCAATCGGAAGGTAAGGATATTGTAATTAACAAATACTTAATTTTTTTACTTCCTTATTTTGAAGTATATTATAAATAAGTGTAACTTATAAGCATTGGCTTTAATAACCATAAAGGTAAATCGTAAACCTTTTTTATTTTTACAAATTTTAATAACACATAGGTATTCGGATATTTGAGGATAACACAAAAAAATATTAATAATTCATTTATTAGTAACATTCTAACTCCAAGACTCCAATGTACCTACGACGTATTGATTTTCCAAGATGCATCTTGTCCATTCAACCCTGTCATAACTCATAAATTAATCGTAAATCGTGTTTATTATTTAAACAATATTTTAATTTTTTGTTCCTACCATGTGAAGATTTTCAATTTGCTCACAAGATAAATTAATTACCTAATGAATCTCAATTTGTTTGAATTTTTTAATTTTTATAACATAATATGTAGAATGTAGATACCTACTTGTTCCAGCGAAGGAATTGATTGTTTACCGTAATATGATCATTATATGACATAATATTTTATTCTTTATCACAGAACCCATGGGTCATCAAGTATAAATACGGTTGAGCAAGTTTTTAACCTTATTGCGCAACCGGTGCCCTTAATGACCAGTCTGACCAGCGCTCTACATATAACATAGAGACGTATTTAGGGGGGTCAAGGGGCTTGGGCCCTGGGTGCTAAATGGTAGAAAATATTAGAAAACGTAAAATAGTTATATTACATCATTATCACGAACATTTTACAATAATATAAAATTAAAATTAGACAGTCTTCAAACAGCTATAATGACAACATTATGGGGTGATATACTACAAAGATTCAACAAAACTAGTAAACAATTGCAGTCAGTTGAGTTTGATTTAGGAACAGTTGTAAGTGTATACGAATTCTTAATTCGATATGTATTAGATTTAAGGAGTATGTTTGATACATATGAAGAGAGAGCAGTTAACAAATCGGGACACAAAATATATCGAAAAATACGCAAAAGAAAAAGAGAATTAACTGTAGATGAAAAAAGAGAAGGAGAAATCAATTTTGAAATTCGATATTCTTTAAGGATTAATACTTATTATGCTATTATTGACAAACTACATTCTGAACTAGAAAGAAAAAATTTGTATTATGATGAAGCTAATAAAAAATTTAACTTTTTGTTTCAAATAATAAAACTACCACCATTAGAAGTTTACAAAAAAACACAAATACTTCAAAATATATATAAAAATGATTTTTCGTCTTCATTTGCGAATGAGTGTATACAATTCAGAAGTTATTTAATGAGTTTAACTGAAAACATAAGACCTAAAACTATAGTAGATATTTTTATCAGAACTGAAAAACTTCAATAACTGTTTCCTTACGTATACCTATATAGCATTAAGGATGTATTTATGCTGCTCAACGTTCAATTGTTCAGCCGGGAGATCATTTTCAGCACCAAGGTTAAATCTTATTAATTCAATATTGTGATAACAGAGCTGCCATCTACAGTTGTTCTTTTTTATTCAATTTTATATAGTAATATTTCTCTCTTAAATAATTACTTGTACTTTTTACAATCATAGTGATCTTAAGTTTCTACGTGACTCGTTGCATCACGTTTGCTTCTGTCAACTTATATAATATTAATTCAAGTTTTTCTTCCGTCGTCACTACCATCCTAGCCTGACTGAGTTATTGAGTTATCTATTATCAGTTTTACAAACAGCTGTCCAACATAATATTCCCGCCCACCGATTTTCATCTGGAGACTTTAACGGTCGTCTATCATATTTACGACACACCTTCCTATTCAAACCCTATAGCTATTATAATACTGTCACACCGTGGTGCAACTTGTGTTGCATTTCAGTCTGTCTAAAGGGGTAATACCTCCTAAATGGGTCGTACTAACTGCGGAATCAGTACGGAATTTCTACAACGCGATCAACCCACAACATGCTGCCCCAAATGCAACAACCTTTTCCACTCTTCCTGTATCAATGATACTTCAAATAATTCACAATGGATCTGTAACGATTGTACTTCCCTCCCCAGTCAAACAAGTACCGACGACAAGTTTAACCTCATTTTGCAAGAATTAAAATCTATCAAGTCTAACAAATCCAAATCAGATGAAGCTCTGAAGGTTATCTCTTCCTCGGTTAAAGCGTTAAACGATAGAGTTTCGGGGCAAGTTCAAACTATATATATGTTTTAACTAATAAGGGTATTAATTTTATTAACCGAAGAAAATACTGATGATTGGACTTATTTTGACAACCAACAACTATCATAAAAATTAAAAACTAAGCACGATCGTAAAATAATATATTTGTACTTTTTCTACATTTTAAAAGTAAACAAATAAAACATAATAATATATAAAATAAAATAAGCTCATAAACAATGATAGATCTACTAGAAACGAACTTAGTTATTATCAAATATGTTTTCTTTGTTTTTACAGACATTACTGACAGTAAGTATTAATAAGTTTTATAATTTGTCTTAATGAAGGAAATAGTAAAAAAAAAATGGATATGAATCGCACCAAAACTTAAAACTCCGAACTTCCATGTAACGATATCTTGCCTTCTTGGTAACAAACACATTCGTTATTGTCGGTTCATTCTATCACAAAACTGTTCCAAAATCTTGATTAAGTGCCGTACAAAAAATGGCTAGGTACTGAGTGTTCTTGAGTTTCTGTTTCAAATCAGAATATTTTATTAAAATTAATTATGTTTACGTTCACAAACTACAATAATAGAATTTTATATTTAGAGTGATTAGATAGATAAAAACAACCATTATGTTAATAAGTAATATATTATTTTTTAAATGTATTATGCTAGTATATAAATTGATCATGTAATAGCAGTGTTGGGTAAATTACTTTTAAAAAGTAATGAAATTACATTACTCGTTACTTCAAATATTTTTATTTAAATTACATTTGCGTTACCTAAAATTATTTTTATCACGTTACATTACTTTTTCATTAATAAAGTAGTGTCTTACTAATAACGTTACTTTTTTTACCATTTTTTTCTAACCATATTCAATTCATATGACTCAATTATTACGTATATATTTTACAATCATAGGCCTATTTTAGTATTGACGAATTTACAATCATCTCACCTATATGGCTATATTATATAGTCATAAATCATAAATCATAATTAATTTTTATTAAATTTTATTTTTAAACCGAACTCTTTTTTTTTGCTAATAAAGTGATAACATTTATTCCTGGAATGTTTAGTAAATTGTTAACTATAATTTTTATTGTTGTTGTATATTGTAAATGAAAATAATATGTTGACAACTAAATAATACCTCTTTCTAACGTTTTATTGATGATAACTATAACTTGAATGTTTATCATTTATTGTGTATTATATGTATGATCATTTTTAAACTAATTAATATAAAAACTAACACGTAAAAACCTATTTATATTGTTTCATCAGAGCAGTTAGATCGTACGTAATGTTTGTGTTTTTTTAATTTATTAAGAATTAAGAATTGTGATATGCGTTTTTCACTGTTATTTTCAAAATAAAAAATTGTAATCCAAATTATACAAAAACAGGTTACTTTTTAAATCAAAACTTTCGTACCTGTTGTACTTTTGTCATTATTTTTAATATTTTATTTCCAATTGTGACAACAAAATCGTAGCACCTTATTTTGTATTTATTTCAAGTATGCTTTTTCAAGCCACATTAGATAACTTTTACATATAGTTATAGTATAAACCTTATTAATAGTTATTATAATTTTTTTAGGTGACATTGGTAAGTACAAATATAAGTATAACTATATATTGTTTAATTAAAATGTATTATTTTATTCTGGGTGAAATGACTGAAATGTGAAAATTATATTATAATAATATAAATTATTTCGTTCATTATAAATTCTCAATGTCAAATTGATATAGAAGATCAGAAACATTGCTTTACATTTTGTTCGTAATCTTAATTTAAGTTTGAGAAGTTGCCTTACAAAAATGTCACTTTCAAAATGTTCAAACGGTGTTATTTTAAACGTTTCTATATTAAAATAGAAATTAAAGTGAATGTCAGAAACCTAAAATTAAATAATCTTCAAATGTAAAGCACGCAAAACTATAAGTGTATTAATTTTAAAACTGCATAAGATACAGATGATAGGACAACCGACAATTACATAAAAGTTAAAAACTAAGCATGATCTCAAAATAGTTTAATGGAAAAATAACGGCTAATAAATTGTCAAAGGAAAAAAAACATAATGATTTGTAAACAAAATATAGCGCATAAATAATGATAGATCTACTAGAAACGAACTTATTTATTGTATATTAAGATAAATATTATTTGTGTATTTAGAGAGATATGACGGTAAGTATTTATAAGTTTTATAGTTTGTCTTGTTGGAGGTAATTGGTAAAAAAAATGTATAGAATTGTACCAGAAATTTAAATTTTAAATTTCCTTATAATAAGTTGTTAGACATAAATAGAGCTACGATTTTAATGACCTAAAATATACACAAAATAAATGCAAAAATGCAGTGGTCGGGAGTAGCGTGCTAATTGTAGCGACGCTACAGTAGCACGCTACATTAGCTGTAGCGATTAACATAGCGTCGCTACAGTATACAATGTAGAGAAATACTATAGCGCGCTAGAAATTTACGGTTAGCGTAGCGAAAATGTTCATTATTTAATCGCTACTTTTATCCTATTTCATGATAATTAAAATATTATGATGTATATTTATTTATTTAATTAAAATGACAAGATGAGTGTATTTTTGATTTTTTCGGGTTTAACCCGGACCGGACTAAGATAAGACCGGATAGATAAGACTATAATCATAAGTGCATTATTACAATGTAATATTTTATATTATTGAAAACAGAACCATAAATAATAATTAATATATTAGTATTTTAGATTCTAAGTGAAACGATGAATGTATTAATTTTACAATGATGTGTGCTTTTTTTTTAAATTTTTTTTTTGTGTGTGTCATCATGTTTTAGGACAGTAAAAGTGCTTGGATTTTCTTCAACAGTAGCTTTTCAGATAGGAAAGTGAATCTAGTTGGTACTTTGGGGGGGTCAAAAGTAAAAAGTCCTAGTAGTTTCCACAAGCGCCAGGAAAAAAAAATATAAAAATTAAGTAAAAACGGGAATTTTTACGCAATATCAGTTTTCCAAAAAATCGATTTTGATTTTTGGTGTAACTTTAAAACAAATGAACGTATATACATGAAATTTTCACTAGTTGTTTATATTTTAATTTTCTATACACGATAACATTTTCTACCTTTATCATAACAAAAATGTCTAAGAAAGTCTTATTAAATTTTTATGAGCGTTTGAAATTCAAATTTTTAGAACATTGGATATTCACTCGATTTCTCATGTAGCGATTTCCTTATTTTGTTGTAATTCGCAAACAAATATTTGTAGATACATGAAAATTTCACTGAATATTTATATGAAAATTTCCTATACAACATTAAATTTTGAAAATATGTTGACTCTTTTTGAGCTGTGTACGGACATTTTCAGTTTTAAATTTTTTTAGTTTTTTTTTTTCTATAAATATCAATTAAGTTTTATCTGTTGGGCCAAAAAGTGTAAAAATTTAATACAAGGCTCTTGATATATTGATGCAATATCAGTTCAAAAACATTGAAAATACATAGTCTCAATTTTTTTTATAAGCATTTAAAGTTGGAATTTTGACAAAATGTATCAAAATCTCGAAAATTATCAATAAATTATAAAATGTTCAGTTTTTATAGCTAAGGATTGCAAATTTAAAACAAAGGTTTTCATAAATATTTCATACTGTAACCAAAAAATCTAAAAAATATATGAACAAAGTTATTTTTTACAGACATTTTAAATTGAAATTTGGACGAAATTACATATGAAAAAACCTAGAATAACTATTTTAGTTATTTTGTTGTGATTGAATAATATTATTCGTGGGTACTTGAAACTTCTAAAGTGTACTATTATATATCTATTATACTATCACGGTTTGTTGTTGATGTATAACGCATTATAAGTACCTAATTTATATTATGATAAGATTAATTTGGAATTCATTATAGGTAAATTTTTTTAATACCATAGATAAGTATATACTATCTCTTATACCTAGAAGGACATACCGTTTCCGCTCAGAATCATTTTTCTTATACAATGATATTATATCATTTAATTCAAATGTAATACCATCCATTATACAGTGACCCACTTGTAACCTACTGTACAGCAGAGCGACACCCAATTGCCCACCTTTTTATTATCACTATTTTTGTTTTCGGCATTCAGCGTTTGTAATAGGTATGTTATACAATGTATACATACATGTAATATACATAATAAATAATAATATATTTAGGTATTTGTATATCATATTCTGATATTCATATAAGATATAACTTTATCATACTATACAACTGTAAAAGTATAAAACATGTCTTATACCTATAAATTTAAAACACAATTTTTATTTCATATTTTTTTATAAATATGAATTATTAATTCATAATCTTACATATTATAAGTCCACTTGACACTTACACTATACAGCGAAGCGTAAGATGTTCTAGATCCATGCTTTCCATCAACTTTTAAAAAAAAATGTTTAGCAAATCAAAATTCTTTGATTTCAGTAATCATTAATCCCCTTGCTGTGTGAAGTCCTTTCTCCCAGTGACCGAATGTCTAATCAGTACAAACTACTGATTATTGGCAATTTTCAATACAACGTTTATTTGTTTTGATTTTTGTTACAAAAATACATGCGTTACACTGAATAAACCTGCCTTCCGAAATTACAAGAAAATAGTGGTAGGCATTAACAAATAATGACCAAGAACTCAAATGAATATCTAAATAAACAAAAAAATTTTTTTAAAAAAGTATCACGCTACATTTAAACAATAGCGTTAGAAATAGCGCACTACATTTAAAAAAAAGTAGCTTTAGGGATAGCAAGCTACTTTTTTTGGGGAGTAGCAGTAGCGTTAGCGTGCTACAAAAAAACAGTAGCGTCCCGACCACTGCAAAAATGACCTAAAAACTTTAAAAAATGAACTTAAAAATGTACTTAGATGAGAGAAGAAAATTTATTTTTAAAATAAATATTATTATTTTACCTACACAACTCATATTTAAAAAGCTTAAAATAAACAAAAAATA